TATTTATTTTCTTTTATTCTCTTTTCATCCCTTTTCCCTTCGATGTTTTTCTGGGCTTGATTTCATTCAAACGACAACTAGAATCAACTTGTTTGTTTTCCATAGGTAAATGTAGTAAGCTGTCTGGTATTTAGCATTATATTTGGACATTTTTACCGTATTATTCTTCATCCAAGACGGGTTCCTCCAAGTGTCCGTCATCTTGTTGGCTTATCATTAGGCTTTGCATTTGGCTGGCTATGTCTCAAAAGGTAAGAGATGTCATGAACTAAAGCTTAAATAAATCATCCTACTCACTAGTTTTAGCTTTACAGACTAAATTCTTATTCCATTTGTGAGTTAGTCTTAGCCTGACTTGGATCAGCCCAGAGATCGTTTCAGGGTTTGATCATAACTATTACAATTTCCTCAAATCTGATTGGTCAAGAAAGTACTCTATTTTCCACTGATCAATCTAGGGGTCTAATTGGACAGCTGTAATTGGACAGTTGATTTTAATTGGACACCTGTAATTGGACAGTTTCATGTGCCAATCATTTTGCTTCTTTTATTTGATTGAAATCACTATATTTTTCCTCAGAAATTGTAATAGTTATGATAATTGATAAAATTTGAAGGTTTGAACAAACCTCTGGTCCTCATTCTAAGTTCAATATTTGGAATTCAGAAGTGTTGTCAGGTTTTAGCAGGTGGAATACGCTGTCATGAAACCTGTGACATAATACACCTGAACTGCTTTTTTTATTTGTCTGCTACAATCCCCATCTATCTGGGGGGAGGGGGGGATTTGAATACTTATCAAAGTTGTGACATTAATTTTTATTGGGTTTCTTGACAAGAAGTACTGGTGATGTAAGAGTGATAGCACTTGCCTTTCACCAATGTCACCCAGGTTTGATTCCCAAGATGAATGACCAAAAGCTGTAGACTTTGTAAAATAATTTATTTAATTTTTTTGGATTGATATTCTTTTGTTTCAGTGACTTGCTAATCTTGGTTCTGATCTGTGCTTTATGTTACATTTTAACATGCAAAATTCATCCTACTGCTGTTCACAAGTATGTTGTTATTAATTCATACAATTTATTTTACAAGTGGAGGAGGAGTATAGGAATCAATGACAACCCTCCCTCTCTTCAAAGGAATAATATTGTGATCCTTTCCATTCATTAATTCAGGGCAGAACTTTGGATTTAAGATTACTGTCAAGGTTCACAGCATCATCTTGACAAAAAACTCAACCCAGTACCCTGCGAAGGTTGACATTAACCTTAAGTGAAAATAGCATAAATACCCTCCCTTTTTGACTGTATAAAAATTTTATAAGCCTCATCTTGATTTGTCTGATCCAGCAGGGGCAGTTGAGGGTGTGGGGCAGGGGGAGGGGACTACAGTACCAGCTATTTTAAATCAGTATCCAGTATCAGGCCCCCCACTTTTTCCCATACTAGTCTCTTATATTTTCCAATTTTCCAATCTTAGCCCTCCACTTTTTAGGGTGCTCAGAATGCACCATGTTTGCTATCTCAGAAGAGGTCTATTACCCACAAAATAAGAAGTTGCTTATTCCAAACTTAGAATTTATATTGTTGTRTTGTTATTTCAGAGTAGTGTTTGGAGTTTCCTTTTCCATTCTTCTTGTTGCTCAAATCTACCGTATGGTACTCAGTTATGGAACAAATCATTTTGATTATACAGGGTGAGTCACCACCACCATTATTATCATCACTATTATATTCACCACCACCATCATTATCATCACCATCATCACCATCATCATCACCATCATCATCACCAGCATCATCACCAGCATCATCACCATCACTATTATCAGCATCATCACCAGCATCACATTTATCTGCATTATCACAATTATCACAATTATCATCATCATCATCATCATCATCATAATTGCCATCATTATTATCGGCAGCAGCAGCACCATCGCCATCATCAATATCGTCATCACCATTGTTATCACCACCATCATCATCATCTCCAGTATCATCATCATCTCCAGCATCACCATAACTAGCACCACCACCATCATCACCACCAACATCACTAGCATCATCACCACCAACATTGCCAGCAACATCGCCAGCATTGTCGCCAGCATCAACACCAGCATTATCACTAGTACAATCATCATCACTTTCATTACCACCATCATCATTATCAACAATAGCATCATCATAATCATCGTTATCATCATCATCAGCATCATCATCAGCATCATCATCATCAACAGCATCATCATCATCATCATCGGCATCATCACCAGCAACATTTTTTCTATTTGGTGGCCTGGAAATCCATAATTTCAAGAGGAAAATTGACACCCCAGTTTTGCAAATTTTCTCAATTCTGATTGGCTAATATTTTTTCTCAGTTCAGCTGGCAACATCGTAAATGTTAACAATTCATTGTGTTTTTCTTCAGCCGTTTAATGGTCATTGTACAGAGACTAACATATGTAGCATTTAGTCTTCATGATGGTGAGTATAAGAGATCAAACCTTGTGAGCTCTTAGAGAGAATAGGCTGCATCAGTGAGCTGTAAGGGAGATTTTTCTTTTTGTAATGTATACTAATTGTCTTGTCTTTGCTTGCAGGAGTTGGACGGAAGGAGAGTGAACTGAATGATGAACAGAAAAAAGACAAAATAGAGTAAGATATGGTCGATAAATGATGAACGATGATCAAGAGAATATGACAACTTTATGGTTCTGCCTGAAATATAAAAATCAATCGACAACATCAAATATAAACTTTTTGTCATTTTTTATGACAGACTTATTGCACTGCCAAGAAGTCATAGAATTTCTTAAATACTATTTCTACGTTCAAGGTCCTCGTAGTATCCGCCAAGGAAGTCGAATACTATGTCCGTTTGAGTGAACCGTAGTGTCTTTGTAAATGTCTCTGATCCATTTTCGAAGCTCTGTCTACTTTTCCTGCTTGATGGCTGTCTTCTCTTTAATCTTTACGACTTGGCACCCCGTTCCTTCCAATAAGATCCATGTACGTTTTCATTATGGTTCCATCAACCCACACTCATTCAATAAACTGATGATTCGTTCCCTACGAATACTTGTCTTGTTTTTTTTTTTCAGGAAGCCTCCAAGTATCCTGGAATATTTTGGATACATGTTCCATTACAGTGGTTTTCTTGTAGGACCTTCGTGTACATATGTTCAGTACATAGACTTTATTGAAGGGAAAGACATAGAGCGAGCTCGATCTAATTCCAAGGTATCCTATAGACTGATTTAAGAAAAAAATGCTGCTAATGCAGAGCTTCCAGTGCTCCCTACCCGTATTACTGATCGTACTATGGAAAAAGCCGGGTTTATTTTGTTTTGTTTTGTTTTGTTTTGTTTTTTTCCAAAGGTATTTTCTGAAAAGTAATTTTTTCGATTGGTAATGCCAAAAACATCTCAAAGGTCGTAGAAACGTAATTTAAAAAGTACTCTACGAAAAGAGTCCCATAATTTTACTTCGTTTAATTTTGCTCTTTCTTTTTTAGGGTAAAAGGAAAGACCCTTCGCCATGGGTAAGTAATATTAGAATGGGAAAGGAAAGACTCACCCTCAGTCTTCCTCGCTAAAGAAATAAAAAGAAAAAAGGAGAAACTCCAAACCAAAACTACACGCCTTTCGAATAACTGATACTAATGCTTATTCATGTACTGTAAGATCATTCAAGTCACATACGGGAGAACCTACATAGTACTCAGTTGATGTAATGTATTCAGACAATCTATTGTATTCTATTGTCGTTCTATCTGTTGTATTTTATTGTCGTTCTATCTATTGTATTCTATTGTCGTTCTATCTGTTGTATTCTATTGTC